AATTTGCCTACCCTTAATTATAAACCTTACCTAACCTATTTGACTTTATCTTATTCTCAAGTATCAACCAATATTTCGCTCACAATCGGCAGAGAATAAACCAATGGGAATTATATATTTTTAATAGACATTGGTAAAAAAAAATCCGTACATAAGCTTTTGATCAAGGAAATGCATGGATGCTACTAGCCGCCTTAATTTTGTTCGAGTCTTTAATGATAGTGAGAGTTGAGCGGTTAACGAACTTGAGAACAGTAAAAGGATTGTTGCAAAAAAAAACTCTGAAACATAATTTGAATAATAATGTGATTGTTACTACAATACTCTCAAAACATTATCCGATTGTTACTCATAATTTCAACCGCAGCAAACGCTTCCAAACACATTGCTTTTCAAAGAAACACAACAGAAATATCTATAGCTAACGTGAACTCTTGATCCCTCTTGCTTTTTTCCTCTTATCCCTTTTCTTCATAGTTTTCGTGCTTGACTTGAATTTTCGGTTTGGCTTCATGGGTTTGGTTTTCCTCACAGGCACAGGCTGTTTTGTGGCGGCTTTGGCCGTCGAACCCGGTTCTGCTGAATCAGTTCTCTCCCTGCGAATAGGCTCATCCTCTTCACGAGATATCTCACTTGTTGTCACGGTTACTGTCAGCTCACCCGTATCATACATTGTCGTGCCTTTCATCCACAAAGAAACACAGCAAATATCAGAACAAAGCCAGTCAAAGCAAAGTCATGCCAAGGCAAAAGCAATCCATGGAAAGAAGAACACTCAAATATTGCTTATATTTGCAACTTGTAAATTGCAGTCGATCAGGTGTCAAGTTATGGCGGCAAACTATCAATCATTGCGTGACAATGAACTCTCTTTCACAGTCAAAATGCAAAATTTCCTTATATTGAAAAGTAATGTGATTATGAAAAAATTACCAGAAGTTGAAGCATCAGGCTCTGCTTCTTCTTCATTCTCTTCATCCTCCTCATCAGCTTCTTCTCCATCTTCAATTTCCTCACCATGACCCGCGGCCATTTGCTCTTCCAATTTCCTCTACAAAGCTCAAAAAACCAGATTCAGAACAATACAAAACGAGACAAGCTCGAGGACCAAGACTCAAAAACTCCACATAACACACAAATGATTGAACATTAACAATCCCCTTACATCATCCACTAACAACCACTCATGCATCATCGAAACTATCAAAGGGCAATAGTAGCTTTACGTTCACAGAGATGTAACATTTGCAGTCAAATCAAAAGAAACACTCAAATGTGCATCGAAACGAATCAGAAGCAACAGTGTCATCATTCCTCACCTTCTTACGGGCCTCGATTCGCTTCCGCCTCATAGCTTCATCCTGTTGCTTTTCAGCTTCCTTTCTCCTCTTCTTCTTCCTCTTGTGAAAACCAGTCACAAAATCCCTACCAACAAAAAACAACACGCAACCAGAAAATCAACTAATCTCGCAATCAAACTGCGATTAAAGATACCCCTATTGAGTAATTGACCCTAACTCCGATTATCGTGATTCAAACTTCAATACCTGAGACCTTTCTCGTCGAAAGAGACAGTGACGTTTTTGTTCTTAAGAGCTCTCTTCCCAATATGTCTGGCTCTGGTCGGAGGAGCCAGTGAACCCGCCTCCTCATCGTCCATTGCCTGAGATTCTTCCTCCGATCGGAAACGAAACTGATTCAGGTAAAAAAATTAGGGTTTACTCTTT